CTAAAAAGTATACCAGAGAACATTTTTCCCTCACAGTGCAAAAGAGTGCAGCATCCTATTAAAAAAATAAACAAAAGCAGAGTTTAATGTTTTAGTTCCATGAGGTTATATGTGAATGAAATATATTCACCCAAATATTCATGGGAAGAAAAGGAAAGAGGAGGCAGAAAAAGAAAATTTATGTTTCAAGTGAAACCTCTTTGATCAGTGATGAATATCCAAATTTCTCATCAATACCTGCATAACCCTTTATGTATCCCCTGAGATCTGCCTGCCAGTAGCCTACCATGAGATCTCTGATCTGAGCTGTCTTCTACACATCCCAAAAGTTAGAAAGATGGTTAAGTACTGTTCCTGAAAGAGATGGTTTTCAAAATAAAGGCTTCAAGTTGGAGGATATATCTAATGACAGTTAAGGGTTATTTCTTATTTCTCTTGTCTCCTGCTCCCAATACTTTCCAATTTTAGGTTGTCACAAGAAAGACTTGGTTTCAGCTAGAGATCCTCCTACTGGCCATAACTATTAGTTTTGGCTAAGTTGTTCTCTGAGGCAGTAAATTCCACAGATAGGTTACAGAAAATACCATTTCTATGCAAAATTTCCAAATTTGCTGCCCTTTCCTTTTATTAAATATGTTGTTCCTCTCAATGGACGTTACTCTGAGAAAGGTTATACACTTCCTTATAGAATAATACACTTCATTGTGGAATACTTGTAGTACTAGCATTTAAAAAAATGTTATCACAACATTCTATAATCATTAGAAATCACTTAACAATTTATTCAAGTAATAGAAGCCTAGCCCAGGTGCCCTAACTTACTTTCCATTAAGCTGCAGCTCTCCAGCACTGTGCACTGAGCAAGAAATTTCAAAAAAAGAAATTTATTTTTTTTATTCAGCTTGCTGCTTTCCAGTGACTGATTTCCAGCTGCCCTTTTCTGATGGATTAAACTTTTCCTGCCACCCTCTTTTTGAAAGACACTCACCACAAAGCGTCAGGGTGTGAGTGTGTGCATTGAAAAGTCAGCAGAATTCAGTGAATTCTGTGAATTCAGTGAATTGTGCCTGCCCCTCCCAGGACTGAGAGCCTGTGCTTGGTGATGCTCAGGCACTGTGGTAATAGTTTATATGCCTCCAATATTGTCTCTGAGCTGTGGTGCCTGTGTAAGGTGTGAGACACTTGCAAACGTGCCAGATTATCCCTGGGAAAGAAAAGAAATGACTAAACAACCAACACATGAATGTCACCCATGGCCTTGCCAATGGGACTTCACCTGTGTCTTCTGGAGAACCAGAAAACAAAGGCACAAAGGTCTAGCAAGAAAGGCTTTTATTCCTTGGCCCCTGCTGAAACTGCTGATAGGAACTGGGATCAGCAGAATACAGAATTAAAAACCCTGGTGTTATTTCTAGGTGTGATTACCCGTGCCATTGAGAGAAAAGCCTTTGGTGAAATGCTATAGGCATGATAGCAATTAAGGGTGCTTGGCAAAGACAGAGCTCTTCCAACAGACCCCATATGTGCTGAAATAACCTCTTTTTGTCATGGAACTGAGTGGTTTCTTTGACAGCACCCAGTGAGGCCAGGTAGTATCCAACTTTGCAGAGTAGAAAGCTGAAGCATAATGAGCCAAATGATGTCCCCACAGTGCCAGAGAGGGTATGTAGGAAATAATAATGAGCAGGAATCCTTATCTCCTAGATCTCTGGTAGATGATGCATGAATGCTCTGAAATGTGCCAGCTTCCTCACTGTTGAGAGCAGTGACAGCTAAGTGTTGAGATGTGAGCAGTGAAAGGTCGGGCAGTTTGACTCAGAAAGCAGAATTATTTCCATAAATGACAATCTGCACATTCCCACTGATCCTCAGCTTCCAGCTGACGTAACAACTGTTCCATACATGCTTAACTTGGCAGCAGGTTGTAATCACCTGGACTGAAAGTTATAATTCGGACCTGCATTGGTTGATATGATAGTCTTTGCTCAGAACTGTGAATTTAGAAGATGATCTATCTTTTCTGCTGGGATTCCAGTGAGCACTCAGGGAGAAGTGCTGCACTCAGGCACAGAAAACTGAGCTGTGTACCAGGAGTTCATCCCAGAGAAGTAACCTGTAACTGAGCCAGTTCCTCTTCACTGGGAGCAACAGTACAAAATATATTTTGCAGACTTCATTTTCTGCACTCAGGAGGGTGCAAATGGCAACATTCCTGGCCTTGCTGTTTTGAGTAAGTCTATTCCTATTCTTTTACCCCCAGCTTTCACCAAACAACTTATTTCTCTGCGTTTCTCCTGCAGTTGTTTTTCAGGAGAAAGCAGTAAGCTCACAGTGAACAGTTTCCTTATTGCAGGAAGGTATTAACATAATTAAACAAACATTTAACATTATATGATCATAAAACATACATTCCTGTCACCTGTAGGTCAGTCCCACAGGAATAATCTCACCTGCTACTAAAGAAAAAAAAGATATGAGAGCACCAAACACAGGGAAGTCCAGCAACAAAGACAGACTCAGCCATCTGCCAAATACTGACAGTTTCTCTCTGCTTGAGAAGTTCTTGCTATCCCTGCCCCTCAGCTTCTCTGTTATGTATATAACTGTGCAATAAAAAGGAAATGGAAGGCTGACCTCTGAAATTTTCAGTCTGAGAAGTCCCCAAATGCTGTGCTGTACCAGAATGCAGCTCTGTTTTACAGGACTAATTTGTGCTGATGCTAGCTGCTACAATTGTTATGCAATTGTGCAGGCATTGGGAATATCAGAGTACACTATATTCTAGTTATACACTTTACCAGGACATGCTGGATGCTTTTTGCCATCTGGAAATTTCTTCATGCCAGGGAATGTTTGTCCTTCTCCTGACATGCCCTTGACCTCTGTACCTGGCATTTGCTCCTAAGGATTCTCTGGTACCACAGCTTTGAGAAGTTCTGCTTTTCCAGCTGACAAAAAAAAATATCCCAAACTCATAATAGATAACTACCATGCAGCTGAAGCTCTTTTATCACCATCTATCATAATTAGAGGGATGTCAATTCATCACTGTGCCCACAGTGGTAAATTCTTATGGTAGTTTTTCAAAGTCACCAATACTCATTGTTTGTGCAGGTTGCTTTATATAGATATTGGTGTTCTTTGTAGGGGAGAGAGGGTGTTAAATCTCATTTCTTTACTTAATTCCTACTTGGGCATTTGCATTTTGCCTTCCTGGTTTCCCAGCTGGGATCTCAGGTGAATTTTTGCTTCCATCTTTATACTCAATGATGCTTTGTTCTCATTAAAGCCCTGATGTGCAGTAGACACCAGGGCTGTTACTTTTGGGTCACATGGGATGAAATGTGTCTTGCAAGCATAAAGAATAATTAGAATGATTTATAAACTAACTGAAAAATTCTGCTAAACTATAAAAAAAGGGAAGAACTTTATTATGCTTAGGGAAAGTTAGCAGCTCAGGTACTCTTCTGCCCACCACCACTTGTCCTGTGGGGAAGGAGCTGATGATCTGTTTTCACAGAGGCAGATTTTGAGCTTATTTTTTAATGAGTCTACCTCAGTTCAGTCACAGCTGAAGGAGCCCTGAGATGGAGTTCTGGATCGGTCCATTGACTGTGGACCATTGCCAGACAAGAGCTTTAGTGACTCTACTTTGGAAGAAAAATGGATAATGGACTTCCATCCCCAAAGAACTGATTATATTAGTGTTACTCTCCTGCCTTGTCTTTACTGAAGGTCTGAAATTCCTTTTCTGACTTGTTGTGAATCTTGAGTGAAGGTACCTCCCCTGAAGTGTGTCTCATTGCCCGTGTATGGAAGGATATTTCTTCTGTGATTCCAACAAATGTGTAAGTTGCAAAGGAAAGAGCATTTTCCTGGAAAGAGAAGACAAAATTTTCAAAAGAGTGGAATACAAAGGAATGTAGACTCCTTTATACCTTTTGGTACTTGCAATTTATGTCCATAAATCGATTTAGTGGTCCTGAAAATGTTAACCACCATCTGTTTCATTAATGATGCTAAATCTGGATCCAAAGATAAATGTTTATGAAGAGTAAAGAAAGGACTCTGATATTTTTGATACCGTTATGAAAGTGAGATTTTATTATGGTATCCAGCAACTTTCCAAAATCTTGAACTTTGAAAGAGCCTTCCAGTTGAAATAGAGTTTATGTACTAGATTCTTTTAGAATATATGCAAGACTTTCTTATGGGCTAGAACTGGACCTCATTTAATACAGATTCTGGTGCTAAGATAAGTCTTCCTGCATCATATGCAGATGCTTGTAGTAGTGTGAAATCCATGTCATTCTGTTTACAGTCTCAGATTCCCTTAGTATTCTGTTGTGTAGGAATTGTGTTTTGGTGAGTGAATCATCCTTCAGAACAAGAGAGGGAAGTTTGTGAGGAAGCTTTAGAAAACACTTGACCAGGTCAGATCATGGTGGGCCTGGAAAAAACCTTCCTCAAAAGAACAAAGTGAGGGCAGCCCCTCACTGTGGTAAGCTGTGAAGAGTCCCAGAGCACAGGCAGGGAAAGATCAGTATTTTCCCCCAGCTCCCACCTGCTCCTCTCTGAGGAGCCTGTGGGACCTGGGAAGTAAATGTGGTCTGACACTGTGGCAATGCCTACCAGAAACCAGCGATATCTGCCCTGGCAGCAGAGGATCTGCTCATATGTGTGAGCAGAAGAGTTTAGAATTCATGGGGTGACTTACAACACCCTTTGTGGTGCTGTAAGTAAGTTCCAGAAAGCAAGTCCTCAGTTTTGAGCACCCAAGGAAGTGCCAGTAGGGCACATCATTATATCTTAGGCTCTATCAGTCGCTGACTGTGAGGAAATACACCAAAAAACAATCAGAAGAGTGGTCACACAGAAACACTTGGTATGATTATGTGTAAACCAACCACAGGCTCTGTTTACAAACCTTTCCATCTGTTCCTTTGCCTAATCATTTCTGCTTTCCCTCTCTGTCTTCTAACTTTCCTTCATCTTTCCAGATGCAGGACGCTATGGGCTATGAGTTACCATGGGTGTATTTTGTCAGTCTGGTCATCTTTGGATCCTTTTTCGTTCTAAATCTGGTTCTTGGTGTGTTGAGCGGGTAAGCTGACAGTTTTGGTGTCCTTTTTCCAATGCTACAGGGCAAGACTCCATAATAAGGGTTCTTCCCTGTCACCAGGATACTTTCAGAGGGATTAAAAATCTGAATCCAAGGAAGCTCCACAACAGCTCTGAAATGCTTTGACAAAATGTTCAAATATTGCAAATAACAATGCAGGTAACACAAGCGGTGTTATTCCCTGACAGAGAAATTCAACCTCAGGGCCTTCAAAATTATTTATGTCAACCTGTCATAAATTTCCAGAAAACTGGCTATTGAAGAATATTACTGCTGGTGACTTGGGATCTCTTTGGCTGGAGCCTTGCAGTGCTCAGAATCTGAGCTTGTCTCACTAATTATCATTCCACTCTTCCAGGTCAATGATGCCATAGGAAGGGACTGGCCCTGGATCTATTTTGTTACACTAATCATCATAGGGTCATTTTTTGTACTTAACTTGGTTCTCGGTGTACTTAGCGGGTAAGCAGTACCAGGAAAATGTTTTATTATTGTTTATTTTTAAAAATCTGTATTTCTATTCCTACTCTCTGGTTACCAAAACAGCACTCAGTGGTGGGTTGATCTCAAGAGCCTTAAGAGAAGGCCTAGGCATTTGCTGTGCCAGTAGCAAAATACAGCAGTCCCAGTGCCACAGAAGGAGCCTTTGGACTAAATCAAAGGACTGTAAGACAATTATTTTTGTCTGTAATACATTCCTCTAGCAGTGGACAAAGCAGTCCCTGCACCATAGAAGGGGATTATAGTAAAATTTCTGGAAGAGTCAGTAGGACTGTAGGAGGAATGAGAGCATGAGACAAATCCCTTCTCATCTATAGGATGAGATTCCTGCCAAATTATGTCTTCTCACAGGAGAAATTTTCACATTGTTTAGTATTATCTAAAGCACAGCCTACCAGGAGACTGTTCTCCCTGGAGAGAGTCCTGGGCACTTTTCTTCTTCAGCAAGCCCATCCTCTCTACTGTACAAATCTGGCATGATGCAGGGAGAAAAGATCATTTCCCTCTGACCTTTTCCAAGGGTGAACACAGAGGCAGAAGAAGTCCTTTTAGTGTTTAAACATCCGGACATTTAGCTGTATTTTGGTTCTGCAGTATAACCCTCGCTGCAAAGCATCATTTTAGTAGCTTTGATTAAAAACAATGGATATTGTCCCCAGCAGTTAAAAACTTCACTGCCCCTGGGGAGCCACATAATTAAAGGAATCAAGCCAGCAAACATTCCTTGCAAGATTTAAAAAAAAAATAAAAATCTTCTAGAATTAGGCTTCTAGTTCCAAATTTGGGCATGACTGGGGGCTACAGCCATTCTGTGTACACGGATAAATATGGTATGAGGACTTTATGCATCCTCATTTTGTTTCTACCATCCTGCCTCCCTTGATGAGCTCTAAATGAGTTTGATTGGGGCCTGGACCCGTTGCCTGAGTAGGCAGCCCTGAATTCCTTTGTCTTTTGGTCAAAAGAGAGGGAAAATGATCTCTGAGCAGGAGAGGGGACTCCATGCCTCATAGAAATGATGTCCTCAGTACTTGGGCCAACAAGATAGGAAGGGAAGCCATGGGACCAGGGAAAAAGATCCACCTTTGGCCATCTGGCAAAGAGACAGGTAATAAAAGGTCTGCAGGAGGTATTATTTCTATCTTCATGACTCCATTGAAGGAGACAAGCCACTGTGACAGCTGCTGCAAGGAGAAGGGTTTCCATGCACTAATGGAAGCGTGGAGAAAATCCCAGGTAATGAAGTGTTGGGCAATAGTCTGAGTTTGCATATCTGGAGAGTGATGCTCTGGCACAGGTTTGAGGCACACACTCCTCGTTCCTGCAGGTGGAGGCTCTGCCCAGCAGGTAAGGGTGTCAGCACTAGTTGGGGATGATGATCAGCCAGCAGGAAAAGGGATCTGTTCTGTCAGAGTTGTGCCCAAGGACCATATAGAAACGTTGTTAAAGATTACATGGCATCTGGATAAAAAAGTGCCTGTGAGCCCAGCCATGAGGAGTGCACAGTATTGAGGCACTGCTGATTCAATTTGCCTGCACTTGGATTTGTACCAGTGCATAATTAACAATTGGATTCCCTCTCTCCTTCATTTTCAACTCAAGAACGTGTTTTGGGGCCTAAATCTTCCACCTCCTGCCATACTGCAGCTAGACCAGCAGAGTCAGTGGTAGGAGATGGAAACGCTCTGTAGAGGGAACTGAAATTAAAGATGAAGTTCACCTTGTTTAAGCTGTGAGTCACTCTTCCTGGCTGTCTTCACTGTGTTATGACAGCTGCACTGTTTCTGCAAAAATGTCCCCAACTGGAGAAAAGTAAAAAAGAAACTTAAGAATTTGCATCCATGAAAAAACACAGAAATTATGGGAGAAATGTTCCAAATTTTCTTTGGTCTAAATAAGCAGTTCTTAAACAATTAACTTTCTAAAGCAGTTCCAAATTCTGCTGACTTACAAAGTGTCTTCACTTTGCAGATTCAGCTGGTTTTTTTTTTGGAGACTTGCTATTGCTATTAGTCTGATCTATGCTGATGATCCACCTGTCTGTTCTAGATACAGAGCAGCATTCCTGGTTATCTTTGAACATCCATTCTGGGCATCTCAGGCTTTTTTCCCATTTATCTATTTCAGGAGCTTCAGCAGGCATGTTGTGTAGGCTTCACAAATGACAGATTAGCTTGGGGGGGAATTTAATCACTTCTGAATACATAAGTGTAATTAATTGTACTCACAAAGACACCTTGATTGCACCTGCAAGATGAAATGCTGAATTCTGCTCCACTGAAAGAGCTCTTGTGTAATTTGTTTTTCCTCAGGTATGTCATCCATTCATGGTCCTGGTGAATTTACTAATCACATGCTAGGCTAAATAGCATGTCAGAGTATTTATATGTAGAGCTGTAATCTCTTCCCAACTTGGCTGAGCACAATATAAAATCCATGTACTCCAAAGGGATATCCACTCAGCAGATCACACAGCAGATCTCCCCAAACCCAGGCAAAACAGCTCCACATCGTTGGTCTGAGCAGCAATAAGAAGTCGCTAGAGATCAGAGATGTTCACATCTGTGTTATCTGTTCCAGTTAATTAATGAGGAAAAAAAAAAAGGCAGAGTGGGTTCAACCTTCAGACATGTACACCTAAAATTATAGAGTCACATTTCCATCCAAATCCCAGGACACAGGCCAAACAAGCAGCTGCCTGATGGAGGGCAGCAGAACTGATGTTTCTTCTGCTTTGAGAGGATCCTGCAAAACACAGTTGGCTGCTTTTGATGCTTTTACTGCCAAGAAAGAGGTCAGAGTGAACAGGAGGCTGGCTATGGTTGTAACTCCTCCTTGAGCAGTTTTTGTGACCTTTCAGGTATTTTTCCTAGTCTTCTGTCCCCTCCTTCCAGCCCTTCCCATTCCTTGGTGTTCTTCTCTGGGTGGATGAGATTCGGAGCCTTGTGCTCCACTTTGAGTAGTAAGCAAGTTTTGAACCATTAGAATTCTGCTGTTTTGCTCACTTTCCATCTCACCTCTAAATGTGAGAAATCATATCAACAGGAAAAACCCAAATTCCATCATTGGGATGGGAAAGAGACATTTTCTCCTGAAACAGCACATGGTGCAGAGCTGGGTGTTCATGATCTTGACCCACTCTGACCTCACACAGAGAAAACATCTCTCCACAACACTCTGCTCTTTGGCATTCCCATCAGCAGACATCTCTATAATTTTCTGGGAGAAGTAAACCAAAGTGAAACAAACCGAATTGTGGTAAAACAATCTGATTCACCAGCTCTTATACCACAAAACACACTTATGTTTTGGCTTCACTGAAGAGAGATTGCTTGCTGGTTTTTCAAGCCCTTGTTGACCTGCCATGATAGCACAGCCGTTTTTTGAGCAGACAGCCTCAAGACTCAACGTGGCACTTCCAAAAGCTTTTTTTTGGTCCTTGCCCTCCCTTCTGGAGCTGCAAACAGTGACCATTTATTGCCAGCTGTGCTGGGGTTAGCAGTGAGGTGTGAACCTGCCTGCAATACACCCGGTGCTGATGCCACCATCTCCCTTCCCATGGGGTGGGAAGTGACCACCGATAGCAACTCTTGATTGTGAACGACATTTGCCCGAGCACACGCTGCCATTCCACGCGGGAGCTGCTTTGAATTCAGCAGCAGCTTCCTGAGCCACCTCCTCTCAACTGGTTTGATGTTAGTAGAGCATAGAAATTAAGACATTTTAAACCAGTTGTCTTCTTTGGAGAGTCATCCGAGATGTGGAGTGTTGTGTGTTGTATGAAGAGACACAGAATTACAGGTTATTTACACAAGGCAGTCACAGTGTTTTGCATTGTGCTGGAAAACTCTAGGTTCAGCCCAATTCAAAATTGGACCCATTTGTTTTAGATTCTAAAATAATACTTCACCAGTTAAAAATTGAAATATTGGAATTTGATTTAACAAACAGGCTTAAAAATATGTAGATTCATTCAGTGATTTTTCTTTTGAGAGTTAATTCATTAACTTGGATATGACACTGTAGCTGGCCCAGGGGAAAGCTGTTACTGAAGCAGAAAATATAACCACCATTGATGGATTTTTTCCTAACAATGTTTGTACAGTTTTTATTATTATTGTTTGGGTTATTTGGGTTTTTTTACATTGCAAATAGTAAAATATCACTCCCAGTATAAGAAAAATCAATTTTTCATTTTTTTTCATGCCTTGAGGCTGAGTTTGGACCCAGAGCTGACTGTGAACTAACTTCAGTCCAGAAAATCCAGTGGTTCTCTTCCTCACTTCCACCTTTATTATCACACTCCCTTGTGAGGACCTGAACCCTCAGCAGCGTGACAGGGGTGCAGATGACACTGACATCCAGTGTCATATTTTGGCTAGAAATTAAGAGATCATCCTGCTTTCATCCTGCTGCAGTGCTGATTTCATGCACAGCTCATAATTCTGAAAGCCTCATCCAAAATCTGTGGAGTCCCTGGAAGTCTTTCAGCAGGTTTTGGACCAGACAGGAGGAAAGAACCTCACCATCACTGTTCGAAACCCACCTCCATCTCAGTCACGTGGCACTCAAAAAATTGGCATTTTGGCTAGGATTTTCATTATCCTAATATTATGCCACTAAAATCAGTGGTAGATCTATTCATTTTTGCAGGAGAAAACCTAAGACAAATGCCAAGTGGAACAGTATTTTGTTAAATCCATTAATTTTTGGCAATCTTCAGCAACAGTATGGATAATGCACTGGGTAGAATGGCTCCACCTCTCTTTTCTGGAAAGAGTGGCCTGTGTTATCTGCTGTGTCTTGTGTAGTGATCTGCTTCAGCAGATATCACTTAATGCTTAAGTACTCTTGGTCTAGCAGTTTTCACAATCATTAAGCTTCCTTTTTAAAATACAGGCGTTAAAACCCGGTTTAGAACCACGTGAGTCTCTAAATAAGGGAGGTCAGCATTTCTTGGAAAAAAATATTGTTGTATAGGTGTCTCTGAAAGAGGAGAGAAAACAGCACCACAGCCAGAAAGAAATCAAAGCCAAGAACCCAGGATTTTAACTAAGCAACAGGAAATTCTTGTTCTTATGCCCTAAGTCTATATTCCCAACAGCATTCTTTAATAAAACTATCATCAAATGTTTTACCCTGTTAATTTATCGTATTTGCCCACCCTATGTGGGATTTGAAGAACATATTTCATGTCAGATAACAGCCTTAAATGCTGAAAGCCTTCAGTAAAACTCTGAGGTCTGAGTTTTTAACTACATTTTCCAGTGCTGTGGGTGAAGTGGTCCATAATTAAATGTGTACAGGATTGTGAGTACCATTAATTACACTTAAATTAGCCCAATTTAGTTGTGATTACAATATAAAAAAAAAGACTGAAACCTGGCTAGAAATTAGAGTTACCATCTCACTCTCCAGATGTCAGATTATTGTCAAACAGTTCTTCAATTACCATTATTCATACAGACATTTGGAGATAACTGTTGGAGAATATCAAGTGCTTACAGAATGTTAGAAAATGTCTGGTATCATACATAAAATTGTACACAAATGTTACATGTGTGTTTTATTTGAATTGTCAGTCAGAGGCTGAGAAGGAAAGAAAAAGGTATATTTTCCTAATTATTGATGGAAATGTGGACACTCCAGCTGTTTTACATGTGTGTGTGCAGCAAGGATGCTCCATACATGTCTTTGTCTTGAGAGAATAGAGACAGCTGGGTGTGCCACACAGACTGATGAGACTTTCTAGTGGAAATCAATCTAACCCATTGTTTTTCTTCCATCTCTTCCTCCTTTCCACCCATGTCCTGTCCCTCCCTCCCTCTTGCTAGGGAGTTTTCCAAAGAAAGAGAAAAGGCTAAAGCTCGAGGGGATTTCCAGAAGCTACGGGAAAAGCAACAGCTAGAGGAGGACCTGAAGGGATACTTAGATTGGATAACTCAAGCAGAAGACATTGATCCAGAAAATGAAGATGAAGGCATGGATGAGGAGAAGCCTCGAAACAGTAAGCAACTTTCTGCTCTCACTTTCCTTTTCCCTCTCTCCTCTGTCTTTCTCTGTGCTTTCAGCAATAAAACCTGTGCCCATCTGCTGTAGTGCTGAGGAGGCTTCTAAGGAAGAGCAAGTTCTTCCTGAGACATGCAATATGCTTATACATGATTCCAATTTAATGCTTGTAAGAAACCAAGGCAAGCAAAAAATACAATACAATAACTGATATTCTGCAGATCAGTGTTTAGTCTGTGATATGGGCCTGATATTAAACAGATAAAAGGTCAATACTTGCTGGTAAAGTCCACTACTGAGAATTTTTTTTTAAATACAATTCTATTCATGTGTTTAATTGTAGCTCAGTGTTGCAGGCTCTCTGCACATGGCTGGTTCCTTTGAAAGCAAAGGTTTCTTTGGTAAAGCAGTGCTGGAGTGTGGGAGGAGGGCCAAATCAGCCCTGTTGTACCTTAAGAGGGCCATCTGCAGCTCCACTGAAACCAGTGGATCTGTGTTTGCTTTTGCCAGGCTGGATTAAGCTCTCAGACATTTATTCTAAGGGTGTTGTTTCTTAATCTTCGTTTTTGGAGTTGACAAGCTGTTTGTACAAAGCGAAAAATCACCAACAATCTCCTATTAGAAATCCTCAAGAAGGAGGGGCTTGAAGAAAGCAGAGCTTCCCAATATTTCCTTACCTCCACTGAATCTTCTGCCACCTTCTCTTGTACCACCACAGGCTGTGCAACACTTCAGAGACACTTAGAAATTATCACTGCTGGTTGTGACTTGGGAAATGTTAGACATGGAACCTTTACACAGCCAATGGACAGGGGCTCAATTCTTGGCTCTCATCCTGGGAATGTGTGTTTTCTTTGTTTGACTTTGGAAGAAAAGACACAGAACATATCCCTAGATGTCACCTTTTTTACCAAACAATCAAAATCTATGGGATGATCCCATCACAAACATATATTCCAGCAGCAATAGGAAGATTTGACACAGGAAAGTTGTGCCTTTTTCTTCAGCAAGTTTTTTTATAGATGTTCGTGACCTTTAGGAAATTAGTAACCACAATTGCTGCCAAAACAATAAAGTTCTTTTAGAAAAAAATTGGATCATTAATATCAGGTTATACCCACAATACTTAGGTATCTGGACTTGAAGGAATCACTGTGGTGACTCACTCAGACTTTTCCCAAATCAGGTTATTTTGACTTTTATGCCGGTGTTTTCATAGTTCATATAGTTTACTTCCACAATTTAACTTCAGCAACCACTCAGAAATTAATTTATTAATCATTATTAGCCAAAATCTGCTGCTCTGTGGCATACTATACACAAATAAATCAATGAAGATTCACTACATGCACTGTTGAGTGTGGCAAATCCATATTTGAGCTAACAAGCTCCTTTCATGGGTGATGATTTTAAGAACTAAAAGCATCTCCAGCTTACTTTCAGTTCTTCCTGGTCAATTTGATAAGGTGAGTTTTGTAAGACATGGTTTATCAAAATTAGTCCTCTCACATCTGACTCAGAAAAACTGAGAAGTGCTGGTTTCAGCTTAAGATCATACCACAGAAAAGGTACCTTGAGTAAGTGACAGGGCAGGGCATTTTGTTTTGAGTGAGGTTTATTTCTGGTTATCTCCTGGGTTGAATGTTTTGGCATTCCTGCCAGCAGTCAATCACCAGTGGGGTTAAATTGAAGGAGAAAGACGGTATTATTTCTCTTCCAAAAGCCATCTACAAAATAGGTAAAGGAGAGATGGCACAGTTGTAAATTCCCTCATGAATCCCTTTGGCTTGAGTGTTCCCAAGGCGTTTGAATCCCACCTACTCCCAGTCCAAGCTCACATCACCCAGACTCCAGTGTCTTCCTTGTTTCCTTGTGTTGAGCTCAGTTGCCTCCTATGTACCTTCAGTGTCTTTTATTCACATGCCCATCAAAGCTCATCACTCTCTGTTTCTAGCACAGCATCCTGAACTCCAGGGCTGGCTGTTACAGCCCTTTCAAGCACACTTTTCTCAGTGACTAATTAACATTGACTTTTAAGGTATCAGCCCTGAGAATTTCAAGTGACAAGTCACTGAAGCTCACAGGGAAGTTCAGACCTCCTTTAGCTGCTGTGTTAGCTCAGTAAACTGCAGGTGTGGCCTTTGCATCAGTGGAGTTGTGCTGATGCCCAGAGGACCTGTGCTCCTGCCTGACCTCTGACAGTGATTCACACCGATGCTTTAAAGAAGTCACACCAGTTTTGGCTTCTTTGGTTTTCCCTTGGAGGTTGTTTGGTGGCTTGATGTCTGGTCTTTTGGGTTTTTTTTAATAAAGAGTATCAGAATAGTTCAGAAGTTCAAATAAAAAAAAAAATACTTATTAATCTTGAGACTCAGCTAATGTAAGTTCTGAGACTCAGCAGTTTACACCATCTGGGCTCTGACCCAGGTAGTCTACCTAAACTGAATCATCCCAAACACAAAGAACATATGTTTCCAGTCTCTTCTCTGTCCTTGGCAGCTACAGAGGCAGTTTTTGCTGTCTTTTGACTTTGTAGAGAGTGCTGCCCACTTGTCAGCATGGGCACTGCCTCCTGTAAAACAGAGGACACAAGGTGGAAGGGAAGAAAAACTTACCTGCATCCCCTTTTGGGTTTGACTGCCTGTGGCAGTCCTTGGGGCATCATTGGTCATATTTTGCATCTGCTGCTGCTTTCCTGAGGCTCCCAAACCTTGTCCAAAGCCTCAGTGGGTGTTTGCAGCCCTTAATGAAGTTATCAAGTCCAAGGATACAGCAGAGAGGTCCTCAGTGAAGGAAAGGGTAAAAAAAGGGAGACGAATGCAACCAGAGTTGGACAACCTGTTCAGTCTTTAGCTCTTCCTTCCATAGCAGAGGTCTTGGCATTTTTCTGAGGGAGCTCATCACCACCTGTGGCTCACTTGAATTGAGAGACATTCCCGGAGCAGGCTGAGTTAATTCCCTGTCTTTTGAGGAAATACCACATTCAAGGCAGCTTTTCCACGTTGTTTGCAAACACGGGTTTGCCATTGTGACAGATGTGAGGTGGGAAATGTGAAAAGGCTTCTGGGGGCTGTTTGTGTTGATGGTTTTGTTCTGTGCTCTTTCCCTGACGCGCCTTCCACACGGGAAGAAAGCATTAATTTGACAGAGGGGAGAAACACGTCATGTCACAGAACAGCTACTGAATTCAAAATTACATGATAGCAGAGAAAACCCTCCCTCCTGTTGCCACAGTTACTGGGAATCTGCACTTTTGTTTTCCTTTCCTGAGAGTGGTCTGGAATGCATCTCTTGCTGTGGGCAGAAGCAGGAAACCTCAATCCAACCCAGATTCTCCTCCTATTGAAATTAATTGGCAAAAATTCCCACAGACTGCAGTGGGGTCAGAAATAATCTGTGAATGGGCAAGGCAAAGTAATTTGATGTTTCTGAGCGCTCAGATTTTGTCCTCCCTCTGTTTCCTTCTGTTTCACTTCTATTTGGTGCTATTCTATTTAGCTGTATTTGCTAAACACAATAGAATTTGTAGAATTTCTATTCTACATGTGCAGTGAGAGTGTGACCTCACCAATGTCAACAGAGTCCCTAAAAGTTAAAAATCCCATTGCTTTGTAAAGGCATTCCATGACTCAAGACAATTAATTCCTCTTGTCAAGTCATATCCAACACAATACTGAAAATTCAAGAAATTCATTCAAGAATGATTTGCAAGTAGCTTACCCTATTAAAATTAAAAATCTAATCGTTCTTCAAGGCCCTATTGTAATGGAACTGATGGCTGTAGATAATAAAGTTTTCTTGTATCACAGCAGAGGAAAAAACCCAGTACAAATCAATGTGTTGCCTATCAAAATCATATAGTATTTCAGATGATACATTAAATAATGAAAGCTGTGTGTCTGCACATGCAGATTTATGCCTCTGTTGAAGTGGGAATAATGCACAATTGAAGACAAAAAGTACAGACATACAGCCAGGTTTTAAAATACATATTAAAAAATTAAGACATTTAAAAAGAAATAGTCTTCAGTCTTCACCTTCAGAACATTGCTGCAGTGCCTTAGTGACCTTTGGAAATGTTCATTAACATCTGACTTCACTGCCTCTGAGGAACCAGTGACAGCCTAAATTTTTGGTGGACTACAGGTTTTGTCTCACCCTTTCAACCACTGTTACTTTTGGACATCACCATAACTAGGAAATAGACTGCACTTTATCACAGGTTTATGAGAGTGTTCCCTGGGGAAAACAAAATATTTTGAGACAAGGAAGAAGTTTTCAGCAGAAAAAGCAAAATTTCAGAAGAAATTATGGTACATCTTAGACCATTACAGCTTTTGGAAAACCTGTGTCTTTCATGGCAACACTTTGTGCTTCTGCACATCAGGCCATAAATGAGAACAGGAGAGATGGTAGTTTCAATAGGGAAGAGTTTTAGAACTCTAGAAATAGAAGCCTCAGTAATTTCAACCCAAACAGGGCCTTACTCCCAAGACCTCCAAGAGTAGTTTGACTCTATTATGTAACAGGGAAAAAAGCATGACCACCTGTCCTTAAAAGTCCAGGCATTTTAGGATTTATCTATCCAATTCCTGTTGACTTGACTTTTGCACAGTCAATTTATGCTCCAGGAGGAGACTGGGTTGATTTCAGTGAGGTTATGTTCAAAATTCCCACTACTGACTTGGATGAAAGGTGTCACTAAATTCCATGCAACCCTTTGGGAAAGTCAGTGATGCTGGAGAGGGAGGGCTTTGTGTGCAGATCTAATCATGATACCAAGATAAAAGGACACCAACTCCAAATTCTACGTTTCTTCAATTTGTGCATTTAGTAATTTCATATGTCAGCCTGCTCAGTGGCCTCCAAACCAAGTGTTTAGTGTACTGGCAAGCAAGTGGCTTATTACTTTCAGCTTGAAATAAAATATCATGGTGCTCTGGGATAATATCTAAGGTAGGAAGGATTTTCAAAGACTGGGTTACAAGCTAAAATTCC